AGCCAGGGGACAGGTAAACAAACAAACAGCCAGGGGACAGGTAAACAGACAAACAGCCAGGGGACAGGTAAACAAACAAACTGCCAGGGGACAGGTAAACAAACAAACTGCCAGGGGACAGGTAAACAGTCAGTGGTAAACAAAGCCCCAGTAACAGGTCGGTTCTGGTCTGACTGGTCCGTCTCTTTCAGGCTGACGTTTTGCAGCTCAGACTTCGGGGCGGAGCCTCCTGTCTGCTGGAGGCCACACAGAACCTCAGGTGACCTCTGACCTCAGTGCCACGTCGTCTTTACATTTCATCATTTTTCTTTTTATTCGTTATTTATTTCTCTGTTTTGACTTTGTTCTGTTCTTTCCTCATTTTCATTTCTTATAATTTTTTTGCCTTTTGATCACCTACTACCAAGAGTTGGGTGATATTGTTTTTACCATCGTGTTCATGTCTGTTAGCAAAACATCTTGTAAATCACTGAACAAATTTCAACTAAACCTTTAAAAATGAACCATTTATTCCTACAATTCAAGATGGCTGCCACAGCTAATTAACTTTAGCAAACACAAACATGACTAAGCTCAGGTGTGGTAGTAGCTGAGTCATCCTCATCATGTGATCTCTGCAGGAAGCTGCAGGAGGAGGTGGAGCTGCTGAGGAGGAGGAGGGACAAAGAGGAGGAGGCGCTCAGGGAGGTGGAGGAGGCTCTGAGGAGCCGACATCAGGAGTTCCAACAAATCGGCACCGAGAGCCAAACAGCTGCTCACAGGTGAGACACCTGCAGCTTTTCACAATAAAAGCTGACAGGAGCAACACATGCAGAAGGCTTTTAATGCGGAGTTCCAACGTGCACGTGCGACAGACTGTCAGGAGGCTCAGAGGAGTCTGGACTGGCTCACCTGTTGTCTGTTGAGGTAATAAGCGTCCTGCCCATCAGGGGGAGCTGTCCTCGCAGACCAACAGATCAGTTTAAAAACAAACTGTTAGCTTAGCACAAAGACTGGAATCAAATGGAAACTGTTAGCATGCT